TCTAGCCGTAGCTTCAGTGTCGTGGACTCTGTCGCCAAAAGGACGCCGAAATGGGGGCGATGAGTGCGTACTCTCGCTAGACGATCGAACGTTAGGATTTCGGATGCGCATCGTCTTCGAGAACCGCTCCTTTAATTCCTTGACCAGTTGGTTGGAAACTGAGCCACCATCCAACAGAGGAACCGACAGGTGCTGAGTGCTGCCTCCGCCGGACGTGCCACTAGCGCTTTTCTTTCGGAATACAGAATCGAGGGTAGTAGACTGAAAGGTCTTGGCCTTCGTAGGAGCTTCGCTCCTACGCGAGTTCGTTCGACATGAGCCACGCAACTTTAAGTCGTGCAACGTGTCTTCGATGCGGCTGCCCCAAGAAGAAACGTAGCTGTTGAAAGTACTGCTGTTTTTCTTCACCGTCATCGTCGTCGGCAATGCCTTCGCAAAGTTAGTCGTGTTCATTTGCTGGGCTTTTCGCATCTCGTATAGTTCCCTGCCGAAAGACGCGGGCGTCTGGCTTCCAGATTCGGGAAGGTAGTTAAGAAGCGTCATCGGACCGGTCCTCGTGTTTAACACGACTTCCATTGCGCCTCTGGCCTCGTGACTCAGACCAGTGTTGGTTAAAGATACCGAATGGGAGGCAGCATTCGGTTTAGTGGTCATAGCGGGTTTAAAGGTTAACATGCGTTCCTGAACGGCGTACGGTGAACTGCTGCTGTTAGTGCAGCTGTTGAAACTCTTCGCCTTCGGTAACATCTTTGCAGGCCTTTCCTCAGCATCAAATTTTCGGTTCAAATACTGCTGTGGTTCATAGATGATTCCGTGCGAATCCGGCTGAAAAAGAGACCGCTGTTTGTCGACGGTTCGCTTAAAGCTGCGCTGTAAAGTCGTGAAACGGCGGTCGAGCACTGAGTAGACAGACCGAGGAAATTTTTTTGATTCTGGATGTGAAGCGACGATGAACGGGTTCACTGAAGAAAGCACAGGGGACAGCGAACCATTTCAAAAAGAGAATGAAGAGTTCAGTGAAGAAAACATCAACACTCACCTTCTTGACTTTCTTCCGAAGCTTCGCGCTTCGCAGGGACCGACAAGTTCCGTGAATGGGTCGTTTTACGTCTTCCATCGTAGAATGACGTCGAAAACGAGGAATACTTATCACACGAAGGAGGAGGTATGTCCTTGCACAAACAGGGACCAACGGACCAAAATTCTAAATTTCTGTGACAGACTACCAACAAAATAATAATAAAGAGCACACAGCGCACTGTACCTTGGCCAAGTAAAGCATACGAATACAAATCGCGTCTGCTTCTGCACTCCAAGATGGCCGACGGAAGACAGATCTTAAATCCCAAGTCACCACTATAAAAAGACGCTTTAGTAAACATAATTATTAGCAATTTCGTTGTCGATTAGTACTACAACTGAAGCAATGAAAATTGACTGGTCTATAAATAAAGTCGAAGCAATAAGTCCTGATTAAGCTTAACCTTACTCGCTTTCGCAGTAGTAGCATAACAGGAGTGGCAAGGCTTTGAAGTATTTTGAGGTGCCTTCAAGGTGAATGCCAAATGCCGTACTTTCGACCAAGTAGTGCTCGACGTCTTGTTTGCTGGACAGCGGCAATTTGACGGTGATCGCCATGGCGTTCACTCGACTCGAGTGCCTCACGATGAAGTTCTAAATGAAAAATGCCCAGCATGGTTCACTAAAGTTAACATATGGAAGAAATACAGAGTATAACCTCTGTAGGATGAAATTAAGAGAAGCAACAGTACGGAATCTTCTAACCCTAGGGCTGGAACCATGAATATAGGTATAAATATTTTATTTCCAGATCAACGTCTTAGAAAAGACTGATAGTACCAATCAGGAGAGTTACTACAGAAGAAACAAACCAACAGCGGTAAATGTAGCTGCATGTATCAGCTTAATGTAGGCGATATGAAGCACCGCTCTGTGGTGCGAAAAATTGAAAGTAGAGGTGACTGAGCCAGAGCCAAATGAGGAACACTGAGCGGGTCAAGCCTCACAGAGCCATCAACTAGGGCTTACTCCGTTCATCCAGGGCGTAGGGCAAATGGACATTCTGTTCAAGAACTTCGACAACCCTGGACACTAGCTAACACCATCTGCCAAGATCGAATGGAATGAAAAGCAAAAACAAAAATGTCCAGTTCGAAAAACAAAATGCGCAGTTCGATTCGGACTACATCGCAAGACTGACGGACTAACAATGAAATTCTGGACTGACAGATTAATACCCAAGGTAAAGCAAGAGCTCATTTAAAAAACCTTGCTTGAGATGGGAGATCAGGTAACAGACAGATATGGAAACTTGTGGAGACATATCGCACGAGAAAAATGAACGTGGGGATCGAGACTTGAAAACTGTAATCCTCGCTGATTAGAAGAAAGATCAGTCACTTGCTGCTGCTGAATTAGATCACTATAAGTATAGCTTTAAGCGCTGTATAACTTTGGTCTGCTATATTGACATTGGAAGCAATATTTTCATAACTTCCTTTGCCACACCGCAATAGAAACCTCATGGAGGTCTGCAACCACCATCAAAAACCTAAAGGTCCATTTGCATATTAGTTTTACTGCAGCCCTAATATCTAACTGCTGACTGCTTGATGATATTACTGATTGTGCAATGGTAAAGATCCTCAAATTAAAGTTTAATATCATATTTGTGTGCCATACGCGTATGGTTCCAGGAACTGAAGAGCTGGTTCTGCTCATATCTTCCATATCTTAAATGTAACCGATTAATGTCCTCCCAATAAAGGCATGACATAAAGAGTTAAGCGATCGAAAGTTCATCTTCTTCATCTTCATCTTCCAACGCCGCTTCTCCTTTCGGGACGCGGAGGCAGACGCGTCAGAGAGAGCTTCCAACGCTCCTGATCTTGTGCCAGAATCTGAGCTTCGGCAAAAGACAAATGCAGTCTGGAACAGACTCCTTCCATATATTTGCACCAGGTTAATCT